GGGGCTTACCTGGATCGTGTCCACCGTATCCCGGAAAACCGGATTGTTAAATTTGACCATTCGCCAGAAATAAGGTTTGCGAGGATGCAGAAGGTTGCGCCCATATTTCTCCAGGATCTGGAAGGCAGTGCAGATCAAGCGGAGACACACCTGGAACTGAAGAGGGATTGGCAGTTCAGCCATTTTTTTTTTCCCCTCAGGAGTCCTAACCGGTTCTGGGTTCAAAAGCAGATGGCTTACGAGGCGTTCCCAGAAGCACGCTTCATTCAGCTGGCGCTCAGCTTACGTCCGTTCCTTTAGCGACCATTGGAAATTATAACGGCGCTGAAAAACAGTGACTTAGGACCGTTCCTCGCACTTAGAACTGTGCCTCACCCTTACAACCGTCGTCGCATTCCCACAGGGTCACGTGATCCTAATTTGGGGGCTTGGCAACCAGCAGGTATTGGAAAAAAACAAAAAACCCAGTTAGAGTTTCCCGGAGTGACGTGATCACCACTTGGTGACTTCTTCCTGGCTGGTTTCCCACCTAGCAAAGTCAAACGGGGGAAGCCAGATTCGCTTTGTGACCGTGCGATTCACTCAGCGACTGCGGCGACAAAAAAAGGATGCAAAATCGGGTGCGCCTCACTTAGAACAGCTGCCTCGCTGAGCCAGGGAAATCCTAGTCGCGGCTGTGGCTGTAAGCTGAGGACGACCTGCAATCAGCCCACCCAAACTGTCTCGTCTTGAGGACTAGAACCTTGGTTTTCGAAATGGGGAGCCTGAAGACCGTGTCCCTAAATTCCCCACTGGGGAATGCATAGAAAAATGAACCCCAGATCGTACCTGGGCCCTTAACGCCCAGCTCCCCTAAACTCCAGTCTGCTTCCAAGCTGGGTTGAATTGCATTTCTATTTATTTATTTATTATTATTTATTAATTTATATGCCACCTATCTCACCTTCAAGGGACTCTGGGCAGTCTGCAACAATATAAAAACATAATATAAAACAGTAAGTACATTAAAAAAGAATAGTTTGGTTCATCTGCTTAATTTTCAGCCTTGACAAGGTCAGTTTCTTCCCGCCAGTGGGTTCAAGTAGCATTGCAGCCGGACATTCAACAGGTAAAGCAGCATCCAATACAGGATCTACCCTCCCTATTATCCACTCACCTCCTCAGGTAAAGCACCCCACGTGGGGAAATCTATCGTCCCACTTATCCACTCCTCATCTACTCCATGACGTTTGAGGACAATTTCCTCACCCCTCAACGAGTAAAAGGACCATTATGGACCGCCATTCAACAGGCAAAAGCATGCCACATACGGGGATCTACCGTCCCTCTTAATCACTCATCTACTCCATGACATTTGAAGGCAGTTTTTCCTCTCCCATAACGAGTCAACGGAGCACAATGGGCAGACATTCAACAGGTAAAGTGTCCGATACAGGTTCTATACCCTCCCTCTCGCTCCCACTCCTCACCTGCTCCTTGACGTTGGCTCGCAAAATGCCCTTGACGTTGATCTGCAGGTATTTCTCGGCCGGAGTCAACGGCGCTTCCACCAGGCGCTGCAAAAGTTCGGCATTTTGTTCGGACGGATTCCGGATCAAGGAGTTAACCAGTTCCTGACGAACGGCCCCGAAGGTGCGCGCAGCCTCCCCCATCTCTGACCCCCCCGCCACACACCAAGACACCACAAAACCCACCCGCGAGATACAATCTCTGGCAAATGGGAGAATTCCTTTGCAGGGAAGAAAAAGCAAAATGTCTTTTTTTTAAAACTCGGTTTATAACAGCCCTACGAGGTAGGCCAAATGTGAAGTTTTACGCTGAGGAAGTCTGTGCAAAGGTAGACCTCGACTTACGAGAGTTTGCTTAGTAACCGTTCAAAGTTGGGGGAAAAAGTGACATAGGACCGTTTTTCAGACTTATGACCTTTTTGGTCAAGTGATCAAAATTCAGAGGCTTGGCCACTGACTCGCATTTACGAGGGTCACAGTGTGTCCCAGGGTCACGTGATCCCCTTCGGCGGCCTTTTGACCAGGGCAGTCAATGGGGGAAGCCGGATTCGCTTAACAACCACGTCACTAAGTGAAGAACTGCAGCGATTCGGTTAACAGCAACGGTCTCGCTTAATGAAGGAAATTTTGGGCTCAATTGTGCTCGTTAACTCGAGGACTCCCTGCAGTCTGAATCAGAGTTGAAGATGGAAATCTTGTGGACCTCAAGAGACCCCCCAAAAGATTATGAATGTTTAAGCCAGCTGGGGGACTTTGGGGCCTGTCTCTATCTCTCAGACCAGCCACCTCGCAGGGTTGTTGTGACAAAAACAGAAGGTGGAAGGAGGATTAAGGACTCTCCCCACCCTTGAGTTACTTACGAAGTACAGGTAGTCCTCGCCTTACAACAATTCATTTTGCGACCATGTGAAAATACACTGGCACCGACGACCGTTTTTCACACTTATGACCGCTGCAGCCTTCCCACGGTCACGTGATCAAAATTCAGATAACAGGCAACTGGCTCGTATTTACGACTGTTGCCATGTCCCTGGGGTCATGTCAGAGGTGGTATTCAGCAGGTTCTGACCAGTTCTGGAGAACCGGTAGCGGAAATTTTAGTAGTTTGGAGAACCAGCAAATACCGCCTCTGACTGGAGATTTAGCAGTATCCTTCCCCTGCCATGCCCACCAATCCACACCTACCAAACTGGTAGTAAAAAAAATTTGAATCCCACCACTGGATCACGTGATCCCCTTTTGCGACCTTCTGACAAGCGAAGTCAAATGGGGAAGCCAGGTTCTCTTAACAACCGTGTAGCTGTCGTGATTCACTTAACGATGTGGCAAGAAAGGTCATAACATGGGGCAAAACCCAATACATTTCTCATTAGCAACACAAACGTTGGTCTCACTTATGGTCTTAGGTTGAGGATAAAGATATTAATAATAATTATATATATATATGTATATAATATTATATACGGCAGCAACCCATATCAACCATCAGAGCGAGTCAATATTTCTGATGCATTTTTAAATGTTCAGTTGACTGAATTTCATGTTTAATGAATAAAAATAACAACAATAATAAATTATATATATATTTACATATTATATATAGTATATAAATATATATATTATATACAGCAGCAACCTGTATCAATCATCAGAGCCAGTCAATATTTGTGATACATTTTTAAATGTTCAGTTGACTTGAGTTTCACGTTTAATGAATAAAAGAGATAATAATCACAACACTGGCAACAAAACAGCAACCAGAACTATGGTAATAATAATGACGATAATGCTAATATTACTACTGTACTACTAATAAAAATAAATAACAGGGGAAACCTTGGAGACTCCTAAAGGGAAAACAGACGCATCTTTTTAGCTGTCAAAACAATACAAGATTTTGGACGCCTGAAGTCTCGATCCGGGAAGAGAGAGCGCGGTGGCGGGACTACAAAGACCCCCCCCCCCCCACTTCAAGACATCAATCGGGAATGATGGGAGTTGTAGTCCAAGCCCCAGCAAGTCGAGGAGCCGTTGCCAAGAGCGCCCTGGCCAGCCGAGAGGCTGAGGCTCCTCCAGGGGAAGCAGCGGCGCACCCGGAAAGGGGTTCAATCCGGTTCTACCGGGCACCCCCCCAAATCGCCTCCACTCCGGATTAGAACCCGAGGCAGGAAATGTTGCAAAGGGGGAGGTGGGAGGAGGATCGGCCTACCTTGCAAACAGGCTCTTCCTTCCCCGCCTTGCAGGAAGCCGCCGCGGGGAAGAAGCAGCCGCCCGCTGGAAAACGAAACCGGGGCGAAGTGGAGCAACAACAACCAAAAAAAAAAAAAAGCGAAGCGAAGCGAAGCGACCTCCGGGGACGTGGAGGAAGAACTACAGGAGTCGTCGGAGGCGAAAGAGGGGTTGGGGGGGGGAACACCTCTGAGCATAGGCAGAGCGCCGCCGAGGATGCCCCGGGCAACAGATGCGGGCAACAGATGCGCCGTTGCAAAACGCCGTTGGCCAGGATGGGAAGGGGAACGAACGTGGGAAAGGCGTGCACGGGGTAGAGGGAGGAGGAGGAGGACATGGGATGTGTGCCAGGCTCTCCCCTCCATCCTAAGGCAAGGGAAGGGAGATAGAAAAAGAGAGGAAAGGAAAGGAAGATAGAAAAAGGACAGGAAAGGAGAAAAGAAAGGAAAAAAGATAGAGAAAGGAAAGGAAGGGAAAAGAAGATAGACAAAGCTAAGGAAAGGAAATGGAGAGCAAGAAAAGAACAAAGAAAGGTAGGGAGGAAGAAAAAAAGGAAGGAAGGAAAGGAGGGAAATAGGAAGGAAGAGAGGAAGGAGAAAAGAGGAAGGAAAGGAAAGGGAGGTAGGAAGAAGGAAAGGAAGGAAATGAAATAGAAAGCCAGGAAAGAACAAAG